ACATGATAGACTTTGCTTATTTGGATTTTAACTCATGGACAATGGCGGAGGTTTTGTTTCAACATTTGGGGGAACACGTAAAACTGTGGGTTAGGGTCCTCCCTCGGGACATTTTGAGCATCAAACACTCAGTTTCCTGCATTCTGGTGAATCTTTATGCATCAATTTTTGCTTTTTCTGCATCAGTTTTTGCTGGCAATGTCTTAAATTGTGTCAAATGTTCACAATGTATTATATGTTCTTAATGTTGAGGGTGAAGTTTCCCTTGTGCCCCCCTCCCTCAAATCTATGCTTCTGGGGAGAATCGCTAAAACAATATGTATTTTAACATGAAATAAAACGGAAACACTATAGTTTAATAATGAAATAAAAATCACTTAACACTGCAGCTGGACCTTCCTGTTGTTAAAAGGAACGTCAATATAAGTTGATTTAACATGGAGCGTCATTTAATGCTCTTATAGTTTCACATGGACATCTAGTGGCAGCTTTAGGTACTACATGTTAGGAATCATCACCTGTGTTTTGTCTCTGCAGGACACGTACACAACCCCTCTCACCTCTATCCAGTGCTGGCATGTTCACTGTGAGGAGTGTTGGCTTCGAACGCTGGTAAAAAAAAAAAAAAAACATCAGATTTTTATGTGAAAATTAAGTAAAATGATCAGATTATTATAGTCCGACTTTTGTCTTACTTTTTTTCTCTTTTCTTTAGGGAGCAAAGAAGTTGTGTCCTCAGTGCAACACCATCACCTCACCTGGAGACCTGAGGCGGGTCTACCTGTGACGCAGCCACTCACAAAATGAGAAGAAGGGGGCTTCTTCTGTTTTAACCAATCAGGGGTGGACTTGTGGGCAGCTGGCCTGTCATAGACTCCCACCCTATCCTATCCTACCTGTTTATCAGTGTGTCCTCTAACCCCTGACAATTTGCAGGACAGCAAGTGTGACCTTTGACCTTCCTTCACAGCCCTGTACAATATCCATGTTCCTGCTGCAACATCGACCAGACCGGAAGAAGCATCCAAAACCAACTGAGAGCTCAGGCACTGAAATACTAAGAGAAGAAAAATGCTTTGGGACAATATTTATCAATTTTGTAATTCTTTGTTCTGTTTTACGAGGGAGAAAAAAAATAGTTAAATCACATGCGAAGCACATGTACATAGTTTTCTGTATGTTTGGATTGGTGTGTGTGTGTGTGTGTGTGTGTATATGATGTTGACTAGCAGAACAGCCCGACTGTATCTACTGTACAGAGTTTGTCTTTGCTTAGATCATTTATTATTTGTTTAGCTCCTGTAGGTTGGAAACATCCACAGTAATCTCATCACATTCAGGCTCATTTTGTCTTTGTCATGACGTTTCTTTGTAAAGGGTCATTGAATTTAATTTTATCAATGTTACTACAATAAAACGTGTGTCTAAAAAAGTTACACAATTTTATCCATGGGTGGTGACATCAGTATTCACCTGGTGAATGTGTGGGTTTTGGTGTGGAAGCATGTCATGTTGTTCAGGCCTGACAGCAGCCCTGTTCTGGTATGTGGCGAACTCGCCCTTTAAGAAGTGGGTCGGTGCAGGATTAGTCCCACAGAGCCCATGGCAGCTCATGTAGAGTCGAGGGACGCTAAACCCTGCTATTCTGAGCTTCTACTGCGTGAGGGACAGTGGACTATAGTGACACTAGGTTCAATCACAGAGAAGGAAAACAACCCTCAATTCATTACAGCTAATAGCAGGATGATGCATTTTAAAGTCCATCTGCAGTCAGCTGTTTAAAAGTCTATGGTTGAATTTTATCAGAACAAAGGAATACTTCGCACCTCTATTTCCAAACAGATGTAAAAACTTGTAGAAAAACTCCTGCACACTGTCTAACTTGCAAAAATAATGATTTTAAAGCTGCAATGTTTCGGTAACAAGACCTACATCACACTAACAGTTTGCCTGATGTAGGTCTTGAGCAGGAGTTTTTCTACATGGTTGAATTTTTTGCCAGTTTTCAAAACATAATTCCATTCTAGTAGGAAAAGTGAAAAAGTAGAGCATATGTTTCCCTCTTTCCTACCAGTCTGAACTCCAGCATGCTCCTGTAGAGCTGCTTAAAGGAATACTTCACTCACAAAATGATTGTATATCAGTACCTCACCCCATGATAAGCTGAATTGGTGAAGAAAATGTTGCTTCTATGATTAACAAAGAATCCAAAACCAGAGAAAATCCTTGATGAACTGCAGTTGAAACGATTCGCATTTAACAACAGTGAAACCATATCAAATACATTTACAAACTCTCACACAACTCATGTCGTACAACCCAATCTCATTTATACAGTCATATGCTCACTACTTCCGAAATGAGTATTTTTGCTAAAATATTACCGTTTAAAACATTTCCATTATTTATTCTTATTTATTGGTGATATGATGATGTCACTTGTTCTTTTAAACTTGCCCCATGTACAGTTGTAGCTTTTAAATTTCATAGAGCATACATGTAGCACGCCTGGGCAAGCATGTTTGTTTGGACTCTCTTCAATGCGCTTGCCCAGGTGTGCTACATGTATGCCAAAGTGTTTTAAATATTAGTTTGAGCAAAAAGTGTTTTGGAAGTATTTAGCATATGAATGGATAAATGAGACCTGGATTATACTGCAAAAATTGTGTGTGCAGTTTGTAAAGGGGTGTTTTCATGTAATTCTGCTGTTGTTAAACGCGGCCCCCTTTACATTAATTCATCAGGAATGTTCTCCTCATTTTTGGATTCACAGTTGAGGCATGTGAGAAAGTTTTCTTCACATATTCAAGGTAACACAGAGTGAGTAACTGATATTCAAATGGTCATTTTGTCGGTGAAGTATTCCTTTAATAGACTGTGATTGCACTGGGCACTCACATGTATGAATATGTGTAACTTTCTGAGTGTGAACAAGGCATTCAGAAAAGTATCCTGGATAAATGAAGGTAAAAAAAATGCTTCTCCCAGAGCAACTTTGTGGGAAGAAAGAAAGAAAGTACTGCGAATAATTACAGTGTATTTACCTCCCTAACTTCAACCTGGCTTTCCCCTTCAAATCCACAACCTCATATCTGTTGCTTAAGCATCAAGTCTCCACATACACAACAGAAACAAATTCACACATTTACATAAAGCCTCTGCTGCAGTGATCATTTGTTTATGAAACCTTCTACCTCACCCACACGGTGTTTATGTGACCTGTATGGACGGTGTGGATAAAAACAAGCCAGCGTGCACACATGTGATTGGTCGGTGAGCTGAAGGGAGGTGGTGGTAATTCAGAGTGACATTGAGCTGCTTCAGTGAATCAAACACACAAACTGATTGTAGTCCATTAAGAAGCCTGGCTGAGGAATCATCTGCTACTGGACGTTTAGAAGAGACGAGCGGTGTGAGGAAAGGTAAGGTGCAACTTTTGAAATACGCAATAAACAGACAGTTCAGGTGTAAACCTCAATTAAATGGAGAGCTGCATTATAACTGCATTGCACTGTACAGCTAAACCCACAGCTTGTCATGCTGCATCCATAATATATGCTTGTACAGTAGCTGTTTGCTGCTTAGACATTTTAAATGCTCTGAATTTGTGTGGAGAAAATGTGACAGAGGAAATCCTGCATTATTGGTGACACTTTTCAAAGGGTAAAATAGTTGTTTGGCTCCTTGGTTTGGGATTAGCGGTTCTTATCTAAAACTGAAGGTGAAGTGAATTATGATGTTTTTCCACTGTCAAAGACTGACTGTATTATTAAGTAATTGTCTTAATGGGAAGTCTAAATGAATTGATTCAGCAGTGTGCCTGAAATATCAGCCTCTCTCAGCGCAGCAGGTAAATGGGTCACCTGTCCTGCACCCTTTGTGCCGCCTGGCCCAGATCCAATTAATCCTGCTGACTGACCTGCCATGACTTCATTAACAGGCACTCTTAACATTAACCTCGGGGCCTGCGGCTGTCTAACGAGTCAGCAATTAGGACGTGGACGTGTTGGAATATTTCAATTAAGGAAATAGGAATTTCCTAAGTGTGGATTAATTATGAGTGGAGACTAAAGCCACAATAACGTCGGAGCAAAGGTCTGCTTTTAACCTTCAGTGTGCGTGTTCTTTCTGAGAGCATAGTGGTGGAGAGAAGCTTGGATCAAAGGATTATCCTTACTGCACCTTCAGCCAGTCGACAGGAGAGTTAGTGAGCTTTACAAGCGCTACAGTAGTAATGTTCAGGTGGAAGAGGAGTTTAAAATACTTTCAAAAGATCAAAATTCATTGAACTATCTTCTGAATAAAACAATTCTTTAACAATTTTTAATCTGCTTTCTGCACAAACCTGAGCTCCCTCTCTGCTCGTCTTTCCCCGTCTGCCCCAGAACAATGTCAGGACCCAGGCCCCTGGTGCTGAGTGGCCCCTCCGGAGCAGGGAAGAGCACTCTAATGAAGAGGCTGATGAAGGATCACGAGGGCGTCTTCGGATTCAGCGTGTCACGTACGTTTGTGTGCCAACTTGGTTGTTGGCTTCCACTGAGATATCCTGTCTGAGGAGGAAGTGGGACAGGAGTCACACTGTCTCGACTTGTTGGTCTAATTCGGCACCAGCCAATAGATGTTGTGTGTTATCAGTAAATCTTTTCTTGCAGCAATGTTACTTTACAAGCAACATCACTGATAATCCGTTACCTCTTTAACTGGGTGGGTTTTTAATGATGAAATCCTCTCCTCACAGACACAACAAGAAACCCTCGACCGGGAGAGGAAGATGGAAAAGGTACAGTAGTGCTGGCTCAAAACAGACATGTCTGTGACACTTTATAGTATCTGCACAAGAGTAACAAGTGGGGTTGATGTTTGTAGCACCTTCACACTGTAGTGATGTGATTCACCATACAGGAGCCCAGCCATTAGGACAGGGAGACAAAAGCATTATCCTTAATCCACTCCAGAACCACCACCACCCTTACCAACATGGGCAGTATGCAAAAACCTCACCAAAATTTAGCCTAGTTTTGTAGCATTATTTATCTCCCTCCTGATAAGATAGCACGACATGGTTGGTATACATGTATGCCTGACCTAGGTTGTCTAGTTTCATGATGCCAGTATCTTCACTCTAGCTTTACTTTGCCGCGTTCAGCTTCACCTGCCATACCTGGTGCTTTACCACGCTTCTTTTGGCCATCGCCTCTCCGCTCCTTTTGTTTTCTGTACCCTGTTTTTTGAGCCTTGGATTTTTGGTGGTGCATTTTGACTTTGCTAGTCAGGCTGCAGTTCGCTGTACGTCTTTACATTAGCGGCACGTCTGTTCTGCACATCTGACCCCTGCTGTTACTGTGGAAAGGGTATCCTGTAAATATAAATAACTCCTATTGTCAGTGATATAAAGTCAGTCATAGACCTTTAAATGGCCGCGCACCCTGCTCTGGGCCGGAGTCATCTGTACCCTTTGACCCCTTCCCTGAAGGTGGAGCTGGAGCTGTGATAAAAGTATATTTTACACCTCTTTGTTTTTGTTTCTTCACCATGTTTCCCCACCTCCTCCGCTTGCCCGATCTAAAGTAACACCCACAACACTTCTTACTCCCAAAGTGAACTGCACGATTAGTTTTCTCCCCCCTGTTTAGTGTCCTTTTTTGAAAGGGATAAACCTCTTTCTGTGCCTTCTTTGCTTTCTCCATAGGCCTGAACAAGCTCCCCATGCTTCTGGGGGCTACTTTACTGCCTGTAGCAGACGTCTTCTCCTCTGAAGACTTAGAAAAGTCATCCTCATTTTTGTGTCCAAACGAATCAGAAACCACAGATAAAGGTGACCTCGGTGTGATTTCTGATCACAGTTTGTTAAGGCAGAGGGGTTACTTTCATCATTCTGGCACGCTGTCATTTGATTTGTGACAAATAAAAAAAAAGAGAGAAATGAAAAACGTTTCATGATCTAAGGAATCAGGATCAGACAGTTTACACTTTGGAGTAAAAAGCTTTTTGAAAATAGCCCCCTGTGACGCCTCAGTAGTGATTCCCATCTCCAGTCCTGTGAGGTTATGTGTCCCATTTCCCTCTGTGGCTGATGGAGCACTGATGATTTGCAACCATACATTAGCATCACAGGAGCAAGATTCATTAGGGGAATTTATTTGGGGATATACAGGGTCCATCTGAGCGTTTCAAACACTGCTGACATGTCCCTTTAATGTGCTACAACTCCTGAAACATACTTTTTTGTAAGATGCTGTTGATCTTTTTATCAGTACTGACATTAATGGACACTGAATTGTTGAAGTCTAGACCACGTCAGCACTCACTTTGGGCCCAACTGAGGTTTTGATCTTGCATAAAAATATCTCATGTATTTTTTCTCTCCCGAGTACAGTTTAAAAGTAACTCTGCCTTGTTTTCAGGCTTACTATCCATTTGTTTACAGCACTGCCACTTCCTCTTCTTTAGTCTGAGCAGACTCCTTGTTGTTCTCATGCTAATGACTGTGTGCCATTGCAGTGTCCATCAGTGGTAGAGGTAGTGACGTGTTTATTTCTAAAACTCTGCTGTTTTAGATCCCCAGAGGTTTTGATGTTGTGAAGATTTAGGCATATGGATCTGGTATGGACAATGTAATGTGCTCTATATTCTCTATACTAATAGAAATATAACATTTGTTATCATTGCAAGCTTTTAACTTTGATAACAACTGTGTACTACACACACACAGTCTCAGAGTTAGCATACAGACATACACTATCAGATAAACTGTAAACAAGTTGAGCCTTTGTGCCTGGATTTTCTGTTCTGCCTGTGATTGCTGTGATGTTCACTGTTCATTGTGATGAAACTGGACTCATCCCCCACTAAAAACTGTAGCGAGCATTCATTTGATTTGCATCACTTCTCTTCAGTCGTTTCTTTCCATTGTGCAAGTTTTCATGGCAAACCTAGATTCATTATTAATGTTGCATCTTACAGACTACCACTTCACGACGAAAGAGGCCATGCAGGAGGCAATCGACAACGGAGAGTTCATCGAGAACGCTGAGTTTTCCGGCAACATGTATGGAACAAGGTAAATATTTCCCACCACATAATCAAGAGTGATCTTGAAAAAATGTCTGATTTAGATGCATAATAGCTGACATCTCTACTTTTTGTCCAAAGGCATCCCAGTTTCAATAGTCATTTAAGGGGAAACGTCTTAGCAAACTGCTCACCTGTAATAAAAGAAGCTTCATCTGCATGGTTTTTGTGGTCTAAATGCAGCTTCAGAAGCTTTTCCACCCACAGGATGAAAATCTGAAGCATATATGAGTGAAAATACAATTAACTATCACTGTAACTGATAGTGGTTAAACTTAATTCAATAGAAACTAAGACTGCTGTCTTATATAGGAGACCCTCAGGCTCGGCCGCAGGGATCAAGAGGATATATAATAGCCCGGTGGCAGATGGTGGAGCTTTAACCCCCCTCAGGTCAAAAAGAGCAACGCTGCAGCTCAGCAAATCGTGTGTCACGTTTAATCTCTTCCTCTTATTCTGAAGATAACACACACTCGCCAAGGTACGAGTCCGAGCAGCTTGGATCAATGCAGCCATCCTCTTACCTTAGTCACGTCGTGTGAGAAGCACACAATTACACTCTATATAATACCTGGTGGGACATTGTCCCGCCCACCCATGTTTAGATGTACAGTCCTGGGTGTTTAAAAAATCCCCTGTTTTATATGATTTAATGATGTAACAATGCTTTAATTCTCTAGTAAAGCTGCCATAGAAGACGTGCTGGCCAAGAACCTAATCTGCATCCTAGATGTGGACATCCAGGGGGTGAAGAGGATTAAAGAGACTGACCTAAACCCCATCTACATCTCCATCCAGCCTCCCTCCATGGAGATCCTGGTAGATGTCCAACTTAATATTTTGCATTAATGTAATATATTGCCTGTAAAAGGTAGGATGTGAAAGAGTGACAAACATGCTAATTTTATTTTATTATATTTTATCATTTCATTTTGTTTTAATTCATTTTATTTTATTTTATTTTGTTTTTTTAAATGTATTTATTTATTTTGTATAAATTTTTAAGCTTTGATCCCCTTATTAAATTTAGTTAGATTTTTTTCTTTCGGTGTTGGGGGGCAAATTGGTCAGACATGACAGCTGTTTCATTACTTCATGGAGCGCCACTATGGTCAAAGATAACGTGTCATTTCTCGTGTCTCGTCTTTCTCAGGAGAAACGTCTGAGGGACAGACAGACAGAAACAGAGGAGAGTTTACAGAAACGCCTGGAGGCAGCACGCATCGACATGGAGCTCAGTAAGTTTCTCAGAAGTTCTACATGACATGAAGCTGAAATGATGACAACTCTTGCAGCTGACGCCATTCTCTTCTTCTAGGTAAAGAGCCTGGAATGTTTGATGTTGTTATCATCAACGATGACTTAGAGAAGGCTTACGAGGAGCTGAAAGACATCCTAAATGATGTGAGTAAAACCATTAAATAGCCTTATTCTTATTTATCTAACAAATATGTTGCTACCAGTGTCTGCAGATGTTGCATAAGACCATTAAATGCACAGAAAATAAGAGTATCCCTCATCTGTCTTTAAACAGGAAATCCAAAAAATCCAGGAGGCCAAATCATAAGAAGCAAACGGTCTTTCTGCTGCACACACTGCAAACACAACTCAAAATAAACTTTCATCTGGAGAGAAGTTTTGTTTTAGCCTCTACGTTAAATGGTCGGAGGTTTGCTTTAAGGACAGTTTGATGCTCGCTGATGCTCAGAAGGAAAAGAGGGACTCTGAAGTGAAGGCTGTTTGTGTTTGACGGAGAGAGATCGGGGGTTGTGTTAGATTTAGTAAAATCAGTGGTTGATATCTAGGTATGAACATCTAACCCATACATCTCTGCCAGCTGGCAGGTACAACTGCCAAATTCAATGCTATAGTGCACACTTTGTAAACCAAAGTTTGGCACTGGCCAACCCATGAGTGTGACGTACACATCAGTCAGTACAGCCAGTACCTCACTGTTAAAATATTGTAGTTATACTTTCATTTATTTGTTCTGTTGAATTCTTATACAGTAGGAATAAATCTACTCATAGTTAAGTGTATGACTATTACAACTAGTATTATGTTATTTAAATAATTACATACTGCATATTATTTATTACAAAGGAAGTTTGTGCATCTGAGATAAAATCACTGCATATATTATATGTAAAACATCTGCATGTATGCTTGTGTGTTTGTGTACAAATGAGACTGAATAAAGAATGTGAGGATGATGACTGACCACGTTTGTGCCATTTAATTATTCTTTCATTCATCAGCTCATACGGATAGGTGGCTATCCCAACATTTAAGTATCATGAAGCATTCAATAACACATATAAATCTAACTGATTTTCCATTTGTACATTATAACTTTAAGGCAACATGTGTACATTTTTAAATAAAATATATCACTCAGGAAAATATCTGCTGTCTGTATGAAGAAGAGTAGCACAAAACACTGGTTTTACTTTAAGGCCAAACACATGCATCTGTCTGATACTGAGGAGCATGTCATAAAATCAACATTTTACAACTCACACACTAAAGAGACTAAACCTTAAAAATGCAGCACACTCACATGTACAAGCTAATGGATAAATACACTTTGAAACACTTTGAAAACTCATTAAGACGCATCACATTTTTAAAATCAAAGGAACCAGAAAAGCCAGAAAAGAGCCAGAGCTGATTGTAGAGCTTGTAGGAAAAGCTAGCGGTGAAAGAAACGCCACAGTGTTGCCTTACTGGAAGAAGGGACCCTGAAGCTTAGTGCTGACCTGGTCTCGTTTCTCCTCCTTCTGTTTGAGGTAATCTTTGAGCTTGTCTGTAGAGAAACACACTTTGGAGTGCCGGGCTTTGTGTGGGGCACGATGGGCACGCAGCCATGGGTTCTGGAGACACTCGGCCGCAGTGGGTCTTCCCCTGCGGAGTGTTGTTATCATATTAGAATACACACAAATTCACTCATACAATATTTCACACGACAAGTGTCTTCATTGCAAACTACAGGGTGGCTGTGGCTCAGAGGTAGAGTGGGTCATCCGCTAATCGGAAGATCTGTGGATTGATGCCTGGCTCCTCCAGTCCACATGCCAAAATATCCTTGGGCAAGATACTGAACCCCAAATTATTCCCAGTGACTGTGGGTGAATGTGAATTACTGTAAATAGTGCTTTGAGTGATTGGAAGACTAGAAAGGTGCTATACAAGTGCAGTCCATTTACTATCTACATTTTAAGAGAGACACGCACCAGGATTTGTTATTCAGGCTGCTCTTCATGAAGTTCAAGGCTCCCTCTGACAGACCAGGGTAACAGCGTCCAAACTGGATCTTCCCTTTCTTGATGTTTTTGTCCTGCTCCCAGCTGTGCTCTGCATGGAACGGGCTGTCAGCACTCAACCTAGTAAAGAATCACAAAAACACAACCAGTGTTTATTATTAAATTAGTTCATAATTCTGCATCTCAGAGCGACAGAAGAGTCAGACAGTTGCAGTTATTCAAAATCCAAGGCCTGCAACTAAAAGGTAGTGGCAGTGCAGAAGTGGGAGCCACATTTATTAAATCACAAATATATAATCTTAATTGTAAAGTAGTAAGATTTAAATCAAACAAACATGGTGGACTACTTTCTTTAAGTGGAAACAGGCGTTTTCTTTTGCTTTAAATGATTCATACGAAGTAAATGTTAATTGCACAATGTAAAGAGCGACTACCCCTCCTGTGTCTCTGCTCGGCCTGGCCTTCCTGTGTTTCCTCCCTTATGTTTGACCATCGTCTTTTTGTGTATTCTCCCTCCTTTCGTCTGGACTAAGTGCCAGTATATAACAAATGGCAATAGAGCAATCACACTGCCTGTGTTTGGATTGATCTCCCATAAGCCTGGCTTTCAATATGCAATTCTGTCTGCGACAGAGTACGATCTTTCAGGAAAATGAGGGCTTAATTTATGGCGCAAAGGAACTGCATCAACCACTGCGTGACCCAAAGAGGAGGAGGATAGCGCTTCTGCTTCCCCGTAGCTATTGGTAGCTTACGCCCAGTTAACAAAAAGTATCATGGGAAGTTCTTTCTGGTTACTACCCCAGTGGCAGAAATGGCGGATGGTGGATTAACAGAATCCAGAAGTAACTGTGAAAAATAAAATGCAGTGTTTCCTGTGTTGTTGGTCGTTAAGATTGTATTTCCAGCAGCTGCATCAACAATATAACCATTTGGGAACGCTGTATCCACCTGTATCTCCATACTTACATGATAAAGGACAGAACTCCAATAGCCCAGATATCAGTTTCAGGCCCGACACCTTGACCTTCCAGGATTTCCGGAGCTTTAGGAAGGACAATATAAACTGACAAACAGACAGAAACAGGATATTGTTCGTAAAGAGTTGTGCTGTTACTGGCAGTGCCAAATTCACTCACATGCTTCATTTTCTGAATCAAGAAAATGACTCAAACCAGAAAAAATGGATTAAAAAAAGATAGAAAATGGACTTGGGTTTGTTAGGCTATGGTAGCTAGGATCAGCTGAGGTGGATGAAGTTAGGCTGAGTTATTTCCATCCATCAATCCGTCCTCCCTTAAAGAGTTTGTACCTTTGCTGCAGCGGTCTGTTGGAGGCCATGACAGTCAAAGGTTTAGTACACTAGAAGAATCTACAACAATGCGAGCATCAAAATCTTTCACGTTGTAGTTTGCCTTTTGAAATCAAACTGGCAATACATCGGTACCTTTGCTCTCTGACAGGCCGTGGATGTGCTCGACGATGAGAGGCTGACCGGGTGTGTAGGACAGAGCCGAGCCCAAGTCAACTATCTTCAGGTGGTTACAGTCATCCACCAGCATGTTGTCAGACTTCAGGTCCAGGTGGATGACTCGACGGCTGTGGAGGTAGTCGACTGCGCTCAGAATCTGAACCAGCAGCTCGCCAACATGACACTCTGCGTACAGATCCCTGAAAGGGCGAGAACACAATAGAACAGGTTTCTGAAGATTTACAGTATGTGAGGGACTGTCTCAAATGGTTGCACAAAATAACCACGTTGACATAGTCTGATGGAAAAAGGGAAGATATTTATAGCATTTATATTTATATTACCTCCCTGGAGAAGGTAATGAGCAGCAGATTTTTTTACAGAGGCCCTGGAGGGGAACATCCATGTAGTATTGTGTGTGCTTGTGTGTGTGTATCGGTCTGTCTGCAGCTAAACTTGCAAACTCAACTCGTCAGCCTATTTTCTTTTGTGCATATCTATGACAGTATGCTCAAGGACCTCTTCTTGTTGTGGTGATTCATAATCTGGCTCATGTTTCTCAAGCCTTCCTTTACCTCATTGCCAGACTATGGAGCAGCTCCTTGCCGGGACAGAGCTCCTCCACCAACACCAGGTAGCGGGAGGTGAAAAAGGCAGCGTGCAGCTGCACCAGGTGAGTGTGATGAAGCCTCTTCAGCAGCTGGTATTCCCTCAGCACCAACTGTCTCTGCTCTGCCTGGTAAGGGGTGATCTTGGCAGCAAACACCTGGCTGGTCTCAACATCCCTGCACAGGGTAATTACGCTGAAACGACCCCTGAGAGAGAACAACACAAAACAGGTACAGAGCAAGGCTGTGAAAGAGAAAGTGGGAGGAACATGATGAGACTATGCTTTTACTAATGCATCCTGGAGCTGGTTCCAGTCCCCTGTGACACTGAATAAGCAGGTACATACTGGATGAAGGTCTACATGCAGCAGAAGTGTTTGTCTTCCTTAAAGACTCTAATCCGAACCTCAACAATTTAAGTCTGTTGGAAAATACTTGATTTTTTTTTAATATACATATAAAAGGACAAAAATTAAAAATATTTACTATCAGCACAAAATATGAGGTTTATTTCAGAAATATCAAAATCAAGTAACTTGAAAAGTCACACCTATATTTCAAAATAAAACCTCAACAAACATTGTGTGCAATCAAACAAACAAAAGTAGATAATACAGTAAATTCAAAACAGTTACATAAAAGATAAGTTTCAGATAGTTTTGCTCAAAGGGTGAATGCAAAATCTCAGCACACCTGAAGGCACAGGTGCATAGGAAGAGGGCGTAACCCAAAACGTGTCCACAAAATCAAAGAAAGGTTCCCACACACTGTATCGCTCTCAGTCAAACATTTATTGGCGTAACGTTTCGGTCAATTTCAGATAGTTTTGCTCAAAAATTGCAGCTTCTACTCAAAAATCCCACCTGTTGATCTCAGAGAGGAAATTGAAGTTCTTATGAGCTGTCTGTTGTTCTGACCCAGTGACCTTTGACCCCAGTGACTCAGTCTGGATCAGAGGAATGTGAGTCTCTGTACAACAGAGTAAATACAGGTTAAACACTGAAACACCAAACCAGTGAGATAAATCCCTGCTACATGTGCAAACAATGGCCTCAGATAAAAAAAACTGTAAAATGTGGAAAAATAAACAAGTCAGATCACACATGTACAACAGCAAACATGCAGCATTGAGTTTGCGAGTATTTCTCTCACCCTCAGGATGAGTAGCCATAACAACAGGTGCTGAAGCATCACTGAAAGGTCCTGCTCCTGTCTTAGTGATGCAGCCGATCCTGAACACATAAGAAGCTCCTCTGGGTAAGTCCTTCACCACATAGCTGCTGTCAGTCACCTCCTCTGACAGGACCGTCCACTCCCCACCTGAGGAGGCACAGGAGGCACATGGGTTTACTGGGAAATCCACAACCTCTGCACATTATAATGCTCTGGCAGTAGATTAAAGCAACAGTGATATTAGTGATGTTGCACGGTAGAAAATTAAATGATTGTCAAGGTCAGTTTGAAAGAAGATAAATACTGGATCAAGAGTGAAGAGTTGTCAGTGTAAGTTGACAAGATGCAAAAGAAAAAGTGTGTTTATATTTAAATACATTTGTCAGGATATGAATAATATCAGGGAAAATCTTATCTAATCTGTCTTTGGAGTAATATCGGCGATGCACTATTTGGAGTTCTATCAGACTGTGTCTACATTTTGTCCATGTGGCCAAATAGATTACATTTTATGTTTCAGTATTAGGGACAATCAAATTTGACAAACATAAACAACTAATTTGGTTTCTTTTTAACACAAAGAAAGCACCAATTGAATGCCTGTGCTCCTCTATCATCTCTGTGAACTCACCATCTGTACAGTACTGCACACAATAGGTGACAGGGTCACTGGACTGGACTGGTTTCCAAACCAGTAGGACTCCACCTCCATCTAACTGGAAAACTTCAGCCTTGTTGGGACGAACTAGCAGATCTGGAAATACATGGAGTAGAACAAACATACACAGCCAGTGACAAGGTGCTGGGGGGCAGGCTGACCATTTTCTAAAAATGGCCAGGGAGGAATCCCCCAGACTACCAACACAGGTCCAGGCTTATTATGTATATATTAATTATTAATGTTTGTTTATTAACTGGCCCCTGGCCTCCAGCCATTTTGCAAAAGAGGCCCTGGGACAAAGCAAGTTGAGTATTCCTGATCCCTGTAGCTTATTCACTACCTTTTGACTTTCTGAACGCAGGTATTTTAAGAGAAGGCAACAGTTTGGACGTCCTCTTTTTTGGGCTCTCAAGACCACTGCTGCGATGCCTTTCAGGTGGGATGGGAGGTGCTCCCTTTACTATTGGCCCTATTATAAAAGACACACAACACCAAAAGGAAAAAAGCATTAGCTTGGATAAAATGACACTCAAATCTGCTGCTTGACAGAATAAAAATTAGCGTAATTTGTAATAGCTCACCTCCTTTACTCACGTCCTCCTTACTAAAAGACTTTGAGAACAGCTTGGTCAGGCTGGAGGCTGAAGCTCTCATTTTCTTCCTCAGAGACATGGTGGGAGTATCTGGCTTCATGATCTCCCCCAGTGTGGGTCCTAACTCTGCCTCGTCCAGCTGGGAGTACGAGTGGCCGGTCCAGGACTGCCTGCGGAAGATCCTCAGCAGTCCCAGCTTGGGTGACCTTCCTGTGGGTGGCCGAGCTTCGAGGGCTGGAGCTGATGCGTGCCTCTGGAGGCCACCACCGCCCTTCTTGTCCTTGGCTCTGGGAGGCCTCTCTGGAGCTTGCAGAGAGGAGAGGCTGGGACTGGGGCTCGCTGTTAGTGGGGTCCCCAGCTGACCTCTGCTGTTGGTGGACAGGTTGGGGTTGGAGCGGGTGCGGTTACGCGGCGGTGCTTGGGGAAATGAGCTTCTGGGTTTGACTTCTTGGAATGAACATGGGGATGGTGAAATCAGAGGCTCCCCCTGATCATCATACCCTTCACTCTCTCCTGATCTGTATCTCCCTCTGAGATGGCCATGACTCAGCTCCTCGTAGGAGCCAGGTCGACTTGACAACTCAGAGCCCTCATGCTCCAAAATAGACGACTCAGCCAGAGACCCCTGGGAGCCAGCAAAGGTGTCACCCGCTGCCTGCTCCTGATCCAGCCTGGGGCTCATTCTGTCTCCAGCAAGGACGTTTGTGGGAGCAGAAGATCCACTCGGCAGTGTTGGAGAGACGGAACCTCCTCTTCTTGTGGGTCGCCGAGGGCTCGGGATGGCCAACAGGTTTCTTCCAGCCACTTCATCGTCTGTGAAATCTTCCTTCAGACTTTGAGAGCCTTCTTCTTCCCCTGACTTTGTGCGCTCGGGTGAGCTGGGAGATCGTCTAGAATACTCATCAAGAGACCTGCTCCTCCTGTGAGGGGGGGCATTGGTGTGGGCGAGGCTAACACCACTGTCAAAGGAGCAGGACTTCTGCATCGTGGGCTGGACAGATACTCGTCTCTGGCCACGATTTGTCTCCGTCTCATCCTCCACATATTCAATAAGAGGCTCATTGAGACGTCCTGAAAAGCTTCTGCGGAGTGGTTTGCGGCCTCTCTCCTGCTTTTTGGCCTGGAATTTGTCCCGTAATGTCATGTGTCTGGCAGACATGGGTGAAAGCTGATGGGAGGTGCTGTAGAAAGTGCTTCGGATGACGCTGCCACGAGGAATACGACCTCCATCACTCCCTGAACCCTCGTCCCCATCAGACAGGTAGAGAGATTGATTACTGTCCTTGCTGAACCTTCGCTCCCTCTGAGGAGTCTGTTGGGACGACACATCCGATGACGCAACTGACTGCCTGCTCACACTCCGCTCTAGTACACTCCTTCTTCCTACCATCTCTCCATCCTCTTCCTCCCCTAATGTCACTTCCTCCTCCTCCTCTGCATCCAGGCGGAGTTTGGCGAAAGAGTCAGGGATCTGCGCTCTCTCCATTAAAGGATCATAGTCCTCCTCGGTTTCCTCCTCCTCCTCCTCAGTCGGGCTGTAGTGCTGGAAAAAGTCCCAAGAGTCAGCTTCGTCATACTCAGACGAGGAGCCACTGCTCGGAGAGGTGCTGCTGTGTTCCTGAGGCTCGCGGGGCACCGTCACTGCGGTTTCTCTGAGAGGAGCGTCCAGCAGCTCAGGGATATGCCTCAATGTGAGGACTGACCCAATGCAGGTCAAAGAGCGCTGGGAAGAGATGGGAAAGATACTGGTGAACACAGATTTTGACGTGTAATCATATTAAACATCAAGACTGTCAGCATCACAAGAAACCAGTAAGAGCTTCAGTTTTTCTCTAACGGTTGTGGTTTAAATGAAGACAAGTAACTCACCTGCCATTTCCTTTTCGAGATGAAGATTTTCAAAGTCTTTGTGTTGATTTCATCAGTATCTTCTCCTGCATGTTCGTCCTGTGAACACAGAGACAAAGATTTGGGTGGTAAGTTGTGCTCTTAAGTTTCAGTAGTATATTTGATTTAAACACTTATTGTGCTGTATTTCCTCTCACCTGGAGCCATTCATGGCTCAAGCACTCAAAGGCAGATGGTCGTTTCCTAGAGAGGTAAAGTTAAATTGGTAGTGGTCAGACATGTGTTATGTTGCACCATGAAACCACCAAGCTGTTCTCACAAGTTTTTTGTATATTTAGAAAGGCTGCAATCACATGATTAAAGTGCTGGTGGCAGTAAACAAGAAAGCAGTCCTGAGCTCCTGTAAAGAGGCAGTTTGGAGTAGTGGATGGGTCACAAAAAAATAGACTTTCGCCCAGGACTTTTCCTGGAGTCGCATGTTTGGACCCATGTGAACTTGGGAGTCATTTTAAGGTAAGTCCTCATTGTGTTTCTTTTCCTAAACCTTACCACAGTAACTTTTATTGCCTAAATAACCTCTGTAACTTAAGGATGTAACATCATTTGTGGGGTGCAAATTCATAGGATAATAGTAGTAGTAGTAGTAGTAGTAGTAGGATATCACTGTGGCAAAGATGTCTCTTTATGCTGATTTGTCCCATTAAATGGGGCTTTGTTTCATTTAAACAAAGTTTGGAAAATAACCTCAATGACTCTGAGAGACTGGATTGATGTGGCGGTGTGAGCAATAATAAAACAGGTTCCCTACTCTGGATCTGGCTGCAGGAGCATGTGGAGAAAGTTCTGGGCCTCAGGGCTCCTGCGCATCACATCAGGGGCATCCCAGTTCAGGGTCCCCTCTCCCACCCTCAGCAGTGTAGCACGGTCCGTCTCTCCCACAAAAGGGCATCGGCACATGAGACTGTCAAGAGAAAGATAAACCATGATGTAAATAATGAACAGAAACTCAGATGATATTCTCAGCTTTTTGATAAACTGTTTGAGAGTTTGGGAATAACATTAAAAGTGCAGTCATACATACCATAAATAGGCTATAACACCTACAGACCTAGCAGAGAGAATAAGAGATATTAATGTTAAGTTTTTGTACACAGTCATTTTTCGCTTTCATTTAAATCTCCTTGCAACACTAGAGGGACAGATCTGGACATTACATTACACACAATAAACATCTGTAAATTCCTTCTGATGCAAGTCTCAGTTACCAAAATTAGTAGTTAAACTCACCAAATATCAGTGGCCACAGTGACTGGTTCTTGGTGAACGATTTCAGGGGCAATAAACTCTGGTGTACCGAACATGCTGTACTGGTGTCTAGATGTGTCTATTTCTTGGCAGAAGCCAAAGTCACAGATCTTGATCTCATCTCTGGGTGGATACACCATCAGGATATTATCAGGCTGAAGGAAGTATAAATAAAAACGGAGTTAGGAACTGCAAATAAAAAAAAGACAGTCAACAATGCAGTATTGACTGGACTGAAAATCTCACTTTAATGTCCAGATGCAGAATGTTCATGCAGTGAATGTGACCGACTCCTTCAAGGATCTGCTGGATGTATGACTGAACCTGAAATAAAATGTAGAATATTAGTCAACAGCCGTTCATAATATTTACAAGATAAAAATAATTTTGTCACGAAGAAATGCAAGCTTGTACCTCTCTCTCTGGGACGGATCCTTTCAGTAATAAATGGTCCAGAAGTCCATGACAACAGCAGCTAGAAAAAGCGTTAAAGAACTCAAACTCAACAACCCACTGTGTGGAATAAAGAGTGATTATACTGCAGCATTTAACAGCAAGGATACATCTCTGTGATCAGCACCAGAGTGCGTCTGGTACAAAAAAAGTCCAGCAAACAAGCTACTCTGGGGTGAGCCAGACGGGACAGCAGGTCCCTCTCCTGGAAGGCCCTGGTCCGAATGCTGCTCCGCAGAGGCAGAAACTTGGCAGCAAACACTTCACCTGTTCGTCTGTGGATTACACGCTTCACCACCCCGAAGGTTCCCCTGAAGCACAGAGAGATGATGGGGTCATATTCGATTTTAACAGGGCTCATGGGCCAGCTGGATACTACAATATAAAGTACAGTTTCACCTTCCAATTTCCTCATGGACATCATAGACGGAGAATAACTTCCTTCTCTTCCCCAGCTCCACCTCTCTCTCCTGACACTCCAGAGGACCTGTGTAGAAAACAAAACATAAATAAAACAGATCCACCACCAACAATCTTTACATCGAAGCTACACTGCCCATCTACTGAACTATAATAATGATGCACGACAGCAGTGTTGCTGTCTTACCTTCCTCCACTGTCAGCTCAGCGTGGCATGAGTCATGGCCAGAGTCGCTGTAGGCTAAACAGGTGTATATGCCGCTGTCCTCACCCTCTGGGCACACTATTGTCAGTGAACAGCGGGCACCATGCTGCGCAATCTCCACATTCTCATTGGCTGCAAGCTCCTCTCCATCCTCCAATCACAGAGAGAGTAGAGTTTTAATAGGGAAAGCTACCAGGTCTTCAAATTCTGGTCAAACTTTCATCTTGTGACCCCTTCAAACAATGTAATGCCATCCTGTGACCTCTGTGACCTATCAAGGGTGGAGGTTTAACCCCCAAAATCTTTTATGCTCCATTCTCAGAGGAGGCAGTGTGTGACAATATCAACTTCGGTATGTTTACCTGGTTAAACATAGGCCCACAAAGACAGTAAAAATAAAGGTAACTTATATGGCAGAAATACAGTTTTCCCCTAAATCATGTTACAACTCAACTCAAAACCCAAAGATTTTAATGCAACCAACCCTTTAGGTAAAAACTCTGGTCTACAGCGCTCCTACCTTATACCACTGTATGTTGGGAGCAGGTCGTCCTGTGACGATGGCGGTAAATGTAGCTCGTTGGCCGGGCTCTACACACAGGTCCTCAGCAGGTACCTGGATGGATGGAGGAGCTGCACAGGAGAAAAGATAAGTTAGTAATCACACAAAGTTTGATAGAAGTCAAACTCTTACGTTAAAGAGACAATAATACCATCTGTAATTTCCTGCATTTGCTCTGAGATGTAGATCTCCTCCTCTTCCTCTGGGTAGCACGGAGGCTGCTGTGCCACCTGCTCCATGGATGTCGAGACAGGAACGGCTTCTTCAGTACCACCCACTACAGCTCTGGAGACAAAGGCAAGATGAATGGAAAGGTCAGTACTAAATATTACTGATCAGTTCAGGGGAAAGAATTATCTCTTCACCAAAGGGAGGTTACAATGTTGTAACCCTTGTTCTATTTACACCAGCTGAGCCCTCAACTGGACTCTATGGGTAATACTATCCTCCATTCACGAGTATGCATTTGCCTACTGAAATTTACATAAATGTAGCAGGCCAATCAGGATGTGCCTATTTGAATACGTGCAGAGCCCATCGTATAGGAGCAGAATAATGACGATGGAATCCCGCAACCTCTTCAGCAAGAGGTGTAGGAGCGATAGAGCCCCTAGTTAGAGGGCTCTGCCTGTACTAATAGAACTAGGGTTACAATATCATCAGCCATCTACTGGACTCTATGGGTACAGCGGGTGAAGCTCACTAAAGGGACCCACAAATATTCCGGTAGGTATGTCCTGATTGGCCGGCTACTTTTACACAAATTTCAATGGACGAATGCGTGCTTGTGACTGGAGAAGAGTTTCACCCATAGAGCCTGTGTGAGACAGAAATATTTTATGGATTCTACATGTTACATTTTTACTCTTTTACCACCCCGTTCTAACTAATTATTAAATCAACCTACCATAGACGAAGTATATGCGGTTGAGGCTGATGCCTGTTTAATTCAAAGGATGGAGGGGAGGGTTAATACAACAACAATGGTGTCACTAAACTTACTGTTCAGGGTGTTCAGGGGGGAAGAGCATCTTAGCAATAGAGGTGGGGCTGAAATCAGTCTGTAGCCATTTCTTCACAAAGGCAGTGGACCAGCCCTCTGAGTCTGCATCTATGAAAACCAAAATACCACTCAGTAGGAATTTAAACATTAAACACTTAAAATAATTCTTCAAATATATTTGAAGGAATTATATTTTTTTCTTGACTGTACTTTATGTATACTGAATCATTGGAAAAAGAAGTGAGAGTACATTACCTTACGCACCAGGAACAGTATTTATGCATTTCTTACCTCAGTATGTGAGGGTTTAACCCCACTAACCCAACACTTCAACAGGACATGAGCATGAGCCCACTCCTGCATGGAGGTAAAGGGAACACCTGCCCAGCACATGACCATCTTGTGTTCGTAGGAGTGAAGAGTTAGCTGGGCATGCGTTGGCAAGAGGAGAAAGGGGAATGTTGAGTGGTTATTTGTTATCATGACAATGATGACTTACATGGAACGGTCCATGTGAGGAAGGTCCTTCTTTGGGAATAGTAGAGGGAGGATGGAAAAACATGTAGGTTACTGACAATGGAAGGGAAAACATGAAGTGGTGACAAAAATCCAGAAAAATATCAGTTTATAGTCCATGTAAAGAATATTGTAAGTCAAACTTACAATATAACAAACAGTGGAATTTCATCAACATCTAATAACTCTATTGAAGTTGGCTGAATCCCATTTTACTGTATTATACTACTTTGATTTTTGATGACTGTAACAGAGGTAAATAATTGGAAAGCAATAGTGGTACTTGTTATCGCCATATTCAAATTACTGCTGTTAATTTCTAGCACCTTGAGGTTCATCTGACTTTCAGTCTAATGTAGGAAAAATGAAGCTCTAGTAAAAGTTCAATCAGGATAATTTTGCATGCTTAGACCTGTAATTTATTTCTCATATCATCTGCCATTCACTCCTTGTTGGCATGCTCACTCACAATTGCTTGCTCAGCTGATCACATTTAAGCAATAGCACAGCAACACACCTTCACTGTCAGCCTATCACCTTGCGGCTGTCTTTTAACATATGGTTTTCTCTCTGCCTTAAGTACATTCATGCTGCTGTTGTGTGCATCCTCCATCTTCTCATCACAGCCTAGTGTTTACAGTTTCATTACCTTCATCAGCCTCGGCAGAGTCAGCAGCCACAACCACCACCAGCGTCTGCACTTTCACTTAAACAATCTTTCTGTCAAGTATAAGGACCAAAGTCTTTCTGTCGAATCATCATCCCATAGTTCTAATCTGTGTTGAACAACTATATTTACTACATTTACCCATCTCTCCTGATTGTACTGATCTAGTCTGTCCTAATCCATGCCCTCTGTGGAAAGTGAAAACATGATGGAAAACACAAAAACATTCCATACAATAAATGTATTGATGTCTTTTCATGGGTGAGGATGCTGAGAAGTACAGTATGGTGTTTATGTTGAATGGTAGCCACCTGATCCCGCAGGGTTATGGCAGTAGAAGGTTATTTGACGTAGTTGTTAGGTATGAAGCATGAGGTTTTTTTTCATGACTGTGACATTAGCCTTCACACCTTTTAAGTAAAAGTGCTTGGCACAGATGAAGTGAGCAGTGAAACATCTTTAAGACCAAAGAGAAAAGGTTAAAATTGATAATGCATAGGTATCAGGTCAGAGATGGTTATGTGTAGGTATGGGTTTAACTTGGTCATGGTGGTGGTTTGGGTTAGCCACTGATAATTGCATTCAGCTGAGATACAGACAGAGTGAACTTACAATTGTATCAATTAGTTATCACATGCTGCCCTTACATAACCCAGTAATCACTTTACTCAAATGGCAATACGTGAAATGGAAAAATGATAAATGGAAAAAAATGGCATAGGGGTGCTTTTAGCTCATGAATGCCACAATATAAACAATGCAGTCCGTGCCATAGCCCCTGAAGATCAAGTGACAGCTGGTATGGTAGTTGGAACTACATATGATGTAAGTGTGTGTGAAATGAAAAAAGTAAAATGTGAGTACAACCTCAAAATGGCATCCACTGGATAGAATGGATGAATGGTAGTGGTTGAAAGTGGAAATTGTTGCAGTTTGTTGGAAAGTGAGGAGATGTCATATGATGTGAAGTAAAAAAGGATGACAGGATCAGATGTGAAGTGAACTTAAGTAAAACCGGACAATGGCATGTGCTTCATTGCTCTCTCAAACACGGCTGAACTGGCAAAGATTTGGAGCATCCACATGAAAACCCTGTCATGGGTTTCTACCCTGTGTGGAGGATATTTACCTTCAGTAGCTCTGGCTGTCCTACCTTTAGGAGGTAAGTCCTGTGGCTGGTCGTCTTCGATTGGTGGCACGTAAGCAGGGCACAGCCCGGCCTTGCACTTGACGCAGCCAAACTCATTCCAAAGCTAAACATAACAAAACATTTGACATCTTAATGGGAGATCTGTAAAATCAATGATACTTTATTCATACACTCTAGACTTTATGGATATGGGTTTTATACCTCACACTCATACTGTCCAATATCTGCCTCTGTTGCCCTGGTGACCGTCAGACACAAGATGCCACTCCGAGCATCATTTTGGATTAGGTATTTCTGCTGGTCAGTCAGCTCTCTGCCATCTTTCAACCACCTGTAAACCCAGAAGTGGATGTGTTTGACACACACAACATATATAGGACCTACTGCATGTACTTTGCTCTGCGTCTCCATACCTGATACGTGGTAAAGGAGCAGTAAGTGTGGAGCAGGTGAACTGTATATCCTCGCCTTCTATCAGACAGGCACTCTCCAGCCGACTCACAAATCTGGGCGAAGCTGGAGAGAAGAAGAAATACATTAAAAGTAATTTTAGTGATAGTCATGGTACTAATATGATAAAGCAGTTGTCACAGTATAGATGTCCTGTGATTATGTAATGGTGCATGTATACACAACTTTCAGCCTCAAACACAGACATGTCTCTGGTGTAACACAACACTCAAGTGGTGTAGCTGCACTCAACAACTCACCGTGCACCACAACCTTCGCCAGAGTACCAGCACTGCCCATACAGCTGGTAGCATAACAAGCATACTGTCCAGAGTCCTCTGCAGTGAGGCTGTCTAGGATGAGACAGCAGGTGCCTGACCGGTCCTCTGTGATGATGTGACGAGGATCGTCTTCTAAAGGAAGGCCGTCTAAGAAGTGGACATCAGATTTTCATTATGAAGCCATCATTGTAACCTAAACACATGATGTCATGTATTCAAAGAGTGGAAAAAAAATACAGTGAGTAGTACGTTTCTGACCTTTGAGCCAGCTGATCATTGGTTTTGGTGATCCTGTGACCTTACAGGTCAATTTGATCGTCTGTCCAATCTTTGTTGTGCAGTCACACAACAGTGACGCAAACACCGGTGGGCCTTTTGATAGACACAAACAGGAATACAGAAATCACTCACCAAGCACTTAATGAAAATGCTATGCCTTGTCAATTCCATAAAAAATATTTGACCCTGAACAACTGGGAGAAAAACACAGGACAAGAGATGAGAGACTAAACCTTTAGTCGACCTGACACGACAGCAGAAGAGTTTAGATAGTATAGATAGAAAATAGATAGTATAGATTTGACAGTCTTATCAAACATTACGAGGAATTCACTTCCCTTCCCAAAGAAACACTTACTGTTGGTGGGCAGGCTGATACGTTGCTGTAGCTCCTTCAGATCCTTGAGCCAGGACAGTTTCACCAGGGTGGAGCGTCCCTGCAGTGTGTACCTCCGTACTGAGCCCCTGTGCTCATGCCACAACCCCCAAGACTTCTCATCTCCACCCAGAGTCTCCTTTATTTCCACATCCATCAGCTAGGTGGATTGAAAAGTGAGAATGAAATTTTCATCACATGTGGCCTACTGTGGTGTTAAACAGTTTCTTTTAAGTATTGCTTCACTGACCGTAAGAAAGAAGAAGGATGGAGCTTACCTTCATTTTGTTCTTGAAGCTGAAGGTGTCACTGTTCATATTGGTGTCTCTTTTCAGTTTACACAGTACAATACATTCCTTGAAGAGAAAGACTTGTCTCTGATGCCCTCTAGAGGCCGTTTTAATTTCTGGCGATTCCTCCCAGACTGTGAAGACTCCCTGAAGGGAAGATGGGAAAGGAGGATCATAAAGTCTTTTTTTTATCAGAGTGCACATTTAGGACTCGTAACCCCTCAAGTAATTTGGGTGTTGTGGGACAATGTTATCAGTTAAATTGGTGCTGCAACTTAGTCATAGAAGTGACAGTCTGTTATAGTAAGACTGTCACTGTTATAACTCAACTCCTCAGTCAGCTTTTACTAACAGCCAAAAACTGCCACTAGCTATATTCCTTTTTGCTAAAATCTCCCAGTAACCTCAGGTTAATGGTTTAAAGACAGTCAGTTATCTGTAGTTACCTGTCGCACTGGTTCACCCAGGGCAATCAGAGGAGCTGGATAATTCTCGATGAGGGACACCTGGTGCAGGTTGTCAGACCTCCAGGGTAGACAGGACACCATGGAGAAGGTATCCTCCAAAAGACAGCAGCTCTGTCCACTTTTGGCTTTGTTCTTGATGAACTCCTGCCAAAAACGTTTTGATTTCACTTTCAGTCACACCTTTCAAGGACAGGCTACAATTTGTGCAACAGCAGAACAAGCTTGAGTGCTTGGTGTTGTATGTATTTCATTACCACAGTCACACTGACAGTATTGATCAATTTTTCACACGCATATCTGTCAAAATAAAAATATGTGTTGACCTTCAGTAAAGCCTGGTAGGTTTGAATTCTCTCCACTGGGCGCTGGAGGAAAGTAAGGACATCCATGGCAGGAGCATCAGATTTACCAGACTCTAGTAACTCCTGAAAAGCCATGAACAAAAAAGCAGTGTAGATGAGTGTCACATTAGTTTCCACAATGTTCATGTTAAATGTTTATATTTAAATACCAACAGATTTTGTGAATACTTTGAAATACTGCTGGACAGCCTTGTCAGTGACGCAGGCCTCTGCTTGTGCTTGTCCCACCAAGTAGTGAAGATACTTCTCAAAGTCCTCAGTGTGCTTGATCAGATGCATAGCCACATCGTCGTCTGTTGCACACTCTTTCAGCCCGGGAAGGATCAACCTGAGAACGCATAAAATAATGTGAACATCTGATCCAGTTTGACAAAAAGGACACAGTGCAAAGGGACACTGGGCACTGTTTTAGAACTAAATTAAGAAAAGGCACAAAAGGTGAACAAGAGTAAAAATACAGTATGAGGTGCTGTTGATTGAGCATTGAAACATACAGGTAATATTTTTGGTATTTAAATGAACTTTTTTTTATGTACAATGCATCCCTTGTGCATGTATTACCTCTCATGCAGAGACACAATGTCCTTGATATTCCTGAAAATGATCTCCTTCTGGTTGAGGATGTTGATGGGGACAGGGTGGCTAGACTCCAAATAATTCAGCTGGTGAGAGGTGAACATCTTCATCTCCTTTACAAACTCCTCCTCTCCATCAATCATGCCTTGGATCAGTTGGCTAAAGATAAAGGGAAGTTAATGCAGTATTTCATTCTCCTTCATCACAAAAGCCAAGTTATAAAGAGACTGCAGGAATAAGTGCATGAAACATCCAAACCAAATAAACATCCATACAATTTTACAATAAATATAATTATCCAAATACATGTATTCCAGTTTATTTAACCTTGTCAGCATATAATTACCTCAGAGCTCTCCTGTATTCTTCTCCTGTAGACCCAATGCCATCAAGATCCTCTTGAGGTGCTCTCAGTTGAGGGAAGGTCTCCTGTTCAGAAAACAGTTATTAAAAGCCTTTTCATTACTCTTTACTCCTTACTACCATTGCCAACGTACAGTAAATGATTAATGTTTCAGAATATAACATTTTTACAGTGTTGAAGTTAACATCTGGATCTATGCACCCTACCTTCCTCTTCTTCTCAAAGTAGGCTGGACACACCCATCCCTGTCGAGCAGGGTTGGTTTTGGTGGGTTTGGTCCTCACCAGCCATTTGTCAGGATGAACCGAGTCCAGGACCTCTACAAACTGGCCCTCCTTCAGAACAAAACTGTCCTTGTTTCCGCTGTCCGGACTGCAATCAGCTCGAGCCACATACATTTCAAATGTCTGGAGGTGGAAAATAGCAAATATATTACATAATTTAAGGCTTAACAGTCAAATGGATACAAGCACTTTTTCGGATTGTTGCTACTAATGCAGCACAAAATAGGAAAAAGTACCTCTCGTCTATCCTCCTCTCCCTCTGACTCTGATCCAGAGACGGTACTCGTTAAGGGTGTGTGAGCGTGGTGGTGCTTGGGAGATGGTGTCCTCATTTTACCTTCATGAGCTGCTATAAATTAGAGAGAAAGATACCTATAATATTCCTGATGGGTAACTTAGTGGAGAGGTGATAAATGACTAAAAACAGCAATGAAAGCGATCAACAGTCCTGACCTTTGACCTTCAGTAGTGTCTTAGTTGGCTGTGGAGGTTGTTCTTCATCTTCTGGAGGAACTTGGTCCACTGCTTTTGTCTCTACCCTGTAAAAGTATTCAGAAATGATTTGTTTATCTTTTTGAGCACAATATATAAAAGATTAGCAATAAAATTCAAATAACAAAACTGATCTCAAATCTAATCCCTCTCACCTCAGTTGTACAGTTGGACCAGTCTCAACAGGTTCCATAATGTCAGGAGCTGTTTCATAATCCGAGGGACTCGACACTGTTGGCAGCAGAAAATCATACTGTAAAAACATGGCCGACTAAATCCATATTTGCTGTGACTGAAGTGAGAGAATAAATGTGTGACTCACTGGAGCTGGCAGCAATGAGTGAAGACCCTCTCCTCTCTTGCAGCCTCGCCTGAGCGTCCTGCTCCGTCAGGTTGTAGGCCTCCCATAGAGAGACACTCACATTTTCTACATAGTTCTCAGCATCTGCAGCTGAAGGAGGTGTCTGGGTTTGAGTCTGAGGCAGATCCTGGGTCTGTGTTTCTTCCTCAGGCTTTTGTGGGGCGAGTTGCAGAGGAGTAATGGCAGCAAGAGGTGGGTGTATAGGCTTCTGGACCACTGGAGCAGGCTTCTGAGGCTGTACTACTGTTATGTTTCCATTGTAGGAGGTAACACCAAACTTATTCACCACCTCGCAGGTATAGATTCCACTGTCACTGGTGGTCAGGTTTTTGATCACCAGTGTGCACATGCCGTTCTCTGTAGTCTCGATACGGCATCGATAGTCATTTGTGATTTGTTGGCCGTTTTTCAGCCAGCGCACTGAGCTGGGTTTTCCTTCAACAACACACACTAGTGTTATTGTACCATGAAGATCTGCACTCTGGTTCTTAAACACCTCTTTGAAGACAGGTCGCATGTCTTTGCGGGTTTTGTAGCCTTTGAAGGCAGCCTGGATCTTGATGGCAGCCTCTTGCAATTGTGGTTCATCTTCAATGTCGATGTCAATCTCTGGTGCAGCTTCATTTAGTGGTTGTGCCTTCTGGGGTACATTAACTGGAGGAAGAGTAGCAGGTTGGGTTGACCCCTCCACAAAAAAGCCAGGGGGCTGCACATCATTGCGGTTCAGTGGTATCTCAGTCAAAGCTTCTGAGAAAGTTTCATCTTCAGAAATGTAGAGGAGAGGAATGTCTTCCGCCATCTTTACTGTTTGTGCTTCTTCTTCTCTTCTCATTGGCTCGACTGCCAGTTTTATTTCCTGGTCCACTTCAGGTTCTTTTCTCATGGGTTTGACTGGTTGTTTGATCGGCTGTTTGGTGATTGCATCCTTCTCTGCAGCTTTCACGGGTTGCCTTATTTTCTCAGCAGTCTCAGTGTCTGTTGTTACTGATTGTTTCCTCTCGGACCTTGGCTTCTCTTCAACCTCTTTTACCAAAGAAGTTATTGACAGTTTAACTGGCTGATCCTCCTTTGTTTTCACCACAACTCTTGTCACCTGTAGATCATCTTGATCTGTCTCTGTGTCCCTTGATGACTGCCTTTCCATTCCTCCCTTTGCTCTACTTTTCACCCTCGCAGGTGGTTTTGGAGGGGCAAATTCAGCCTCTTTTTCTAAAGGTTGTTTGTCCAGTTTATTTGCAGAGGTGACTAGTTTCAGTGGCTTTATCTCATTCTCTGCCTCCATGGACACCTGCTGTTTCACATGGTCTCTCTGTCTGTTGTCTTCTTCAAATTCATTTACAGTAGGCTTTACTGTTTGGACAATGATCTCCTCAGTTTTCTTTGGAACATACTGAGGTGGTTCCTTTGCCCCTGTTACTTTTCCTTTAGACCTTACTGGTGGTTTAAAAGGTTCTTCTTCCTCTACTTTGCCTTCCTTTACTATAAACTTCTCTTCTTGGTCCTTTATTGTTTTACTCCCGATAAACTTTTCTAATGGTTTCACAGACGGTTTTTCATCCTCACTCTTCTCCCACTGGACTTTTTCTGGATGGCTTTCATTCCTCTCAACTTCACTTGTTCTCTCTGAAGGTTTCACTGCTTGTTTTAATATCTGTTCAACTTCATCCTTCCTTTTCTTTTGTTCAAACACAGTGTCTCCAACAACTTTGTCTGTTTCACTTGCATTATGGTCAACCTGGACTAATTTCTCTGTAATCCTTCCTGGTTGTCTCCTCTCCATGAGAACATCTTTCTCTGTTTCCAAAGGTCTTGCTGGCTCTTCCACCTCCCTGTCAACCCTATTATCTTTCTCCAGTGGTCTCACTGTCTTGTCAACTTTCTTGTTCAACTCATTGTCTTTCTCCACATGCCTTTCCAGTTGTATTATGTTCTGTGCAACATCAAGGTCTTTCTCCATAGATCTCGCAGGTTGGATGCCCTGTTTTAGGTCAAACATTGGCTCCACATCTTTTTCTAAACTTGCAATTGATGCTTTCCTGTGAGCTCTCTTTTTGGGCTCTGGAGGAACAGGTTTGGCTTCTGGGAGTCCAGGCTTCTGGCTTTCTGGCGCAGGAGTTGGTTTGGAGACGGGGCCCTTTGCCCGAGGCAGAATCGTGGGAGGCTCTGCCTTTGGTGGAGCTGGTTCTAGTGCTAGACAAGGGAATTAAAAATATTTTGTGACAACTGATTTATTTGATGTGGAGGTTGACAGAAAAGGAACATGAATAAATGTATCTTGCTCATGTAAAGTTGTCAAGTACGTAGAGATGCACACACCTTTCACTGTCACAGTAGCAGTGGTCTCTGCACTTCCAGCCTGACATGTGTAGCTGCCGCTGTCCTCCACTTTGAGATCCTTGATGTAGAGCTGAAGCAGGCAGCCACCCTGCTTTATCTCGTACTTGTTGCC